GCCTCCTTCCTCCTTCCTCCTTCCTCCTTCCTCCTCCTCCTCCTCCTCCTCCGCCTCCTCCTCCTCCTCCGCCTCCTCCTCCGCCTCCGCCTCCGCCTCCTCCTCCTCCTCCTCCTCCTCCTCCTCCTCCTCCTCCTCCTCCTCCTCTCCTCTCCACCCTCCCCCAAATCCATTCAAACTGACTGCCCAACCAGGATCGACCCTCTACAGCCCGGGGGCTCGGTGCGGCCCCGTGGAGCCCTTTGCTTCTCGGGGCGATCTGGGTACCCCGAGACGCCCCTGGGGGAAGATAACCTCCGAAGGCCTCCGTCGAGCAGCTGGCGGCCGTTCGAGGTGGACCCAGCCGTGGGGGCGACCATCGCCGTCGCCGTCGTCGTCGCCATCGCCGTCGTCGTGGCCGTCGTCGTGGCCGTCGCCGTCGTCGTCGTCGCCGTCGCCGCCGTCGTCGCCGCCGCCGCCGCCGAGGCCGCCGCCGCCGCCGCCGCCGCCGTCGTCGTCGTCGTCGTCGTCGTCGTCGTCGTCGTCGTCATCGTCGTCGTCGTCGAGGTCGTCGTCGTCGTCGTCATCATCGAGGTCGACGTCGAGGTCGAGGTCGAGGTTGAGGTTAAGGAGGTTGTCGTCGTCGTCGTCACCGTCGCCGTCGCCGCCGCCGTCGTCGTCGCAGTCGTCGTGGCCTTGGCCGTGGCCGTGGCCGTGGCCGTGGCCGCTGCTGCCGCCGCCGCCGCCGCCGTCGTCGTCGTCGTCGCCGTCGTCGCCGTCGTCGAGGTAGTTGTCGAGGTCGTCATCGAGGTCGTCATCGAGGTCGTTGTCGAGGTCGTCGTCGAGGTCGAGGTTGAGGTTAAGGAGGTCGCCGTCGTCGTCGTCGTCGTGGCTGTCGCCGTCGCCGTCGCCGTGGCCGTGGCCGTGGCCGTGGCCGTGGCCGTCGTCGTCGTCGTCGTGGCCGCCGTCGTCGTCGTCGTCGTCGTCGTCGAGCTTGCCGTCGCCGAGCAGCAGGCACGGCGGCCTCTCCAGAGCCGCCGAGAGCGGGGCGTTGGAGGCGACGTGCCCGGCGACCGTGGCCAGCGCCTGCCGCACGAGCGCGGCGCCCCTGGCCGGCAGCGCGGGCTCCTCGTCCGACCGCCTCGCCTCGGGGGAGGCTTGGCGGAGAGCGAGGGGGGAACTTTGAAGAGGCCCGAGGACACACACACACACACATAAACACACAAATAAAAGGATTCCCCATATTCGTATATATATATACACATGTGTATATATATATATGGGGTTTCGTCTTCCCCCTCACTTCCCATATTTTCCCATATGTTCTAGGGAATCGACGGCTAATTGTGTCTGTGTGTTTCTTTCCCTCCTGAAACTTAGAAGGCTGCATTTTGATCTTTAATTTTTCTGACGCATTCTGCCGTCGCTCTTCGGAGTGCTGCTCGCAGCGCGATGAACTTTTCGTTTCCTGTGTCGTGCTTGCGTCAAATGCGCACATTTCGCGACTTCTCTGGCCAGATGAAAATGTCAATCCGAGAAGGCCTTCTGAGAAGGCGGCGGGACTTCTCAGAAGCCCCCGCGCCTTCTGAGAAATCTTCTGCGTCTTCGGGGAAGGCTCATAACACATCTCGGAAGGCCAAGCGAATTTCCGAGCCCTGTGAGAAGGCCCGCTCCTCCTCGCTTCCCCCCTTCGCTCTCGGCCGACAGATGGGGTCGGCACCAACGTGGCGACGTCGACCTCGACGACGACGACGACCTCGGAGGGGGCCGGAGTCCTTTCCCTGGCGCTGGCCGAGGTCTGCGGCTTCGGGCCCCAGGGTGCGCTTCGAGGGGCGTCCGGGGGCGCCTCGTCGTCCCTCGGCTGCGCCTCGTCGTCGGGGGGTGTCTGGGGTGCCCAGAGGCGTGGTCCAGAAGCCGACCAGCTTTAGGTCGGGCCTGTCCCCCTGCAGGGGGATTTTGGACGACGAATAAAAGCACCCCAAAAATTCCAAACAGATGCCCCCAAAAGTACTGAAAGCATGGTCCCCAGGCAATTTTTGGACCATTTTCGAATATCCCCCCTGTAGAGGGACGGGCCCGACTTCAGGCCAGCTGGAGGACGACGACGACGACGACGACGACGACGACGACGACGACGACGACAACGATCTCGACGGCATCGATGACCTTTTCTCGTCGCCGCGGCTGGCTTCGACTCGTCGCCGCGTCGGCGCGACCTTCCCCCTCCTCGCCTTCGCCTCGCCGCCTCGGGGCGGAGGAGGTCGGCAGCACCACGGCAACCTCGACGGAGGTCTGCTGGAGGTTTTCTCTGGAGGGCGTTTTGGACAGTCTGCCCTAGAAATCTGGTGGATTGACTGGTTCAATCCTGGCGTTTCTCTCACATTCTGGCCTCCAGGTGCCACTTCTGGGCCCTCTGACAATCGAAAACGGATCGGGGACGAACATATGAAATATTCCGAACGACGACGACAACGACGACGACCTCAACGACAACGACGACCCCAACGACGACGACGCCGACGCCGACGCCGACTGCATCGACGAAGACGACGACGACGACGGTCTGGACGACCCGTCTCCTCCTCCTCCTCCTCCTCCTCCTGCCTCCTCCTCCCTCCTCCAACTCCTCCTCCTCCTCCCTCTTTTTCCCTCCTCTCCCCATCCTTCTCCTCATCCTCCCACCTCCTTCTCCTCATCCTCCCCATCCTCCTGCCTCTCCCTTTTGTTCTGTCGTCCGGATCATATCCTACACTGGGACTGCTAATCTAAAAGACAACGAGATACCCATCATCGCTCTCCTCCTCCTTCTCCTCTCGGAGGGACCGAAATGAGAGTTGAAACAGTGGGAACGAAGATCGACAGCGGCTCGAGTAGGGGATCGACTACAGATGGATTCACCCCCGCATTATTTTTCCGTCGAGTCTACGAAGGATACGCCGAATGCTCCACAGATCTACGGAGCATTCTCGTGTCTGCCGTGGACTCGACGGGGAAATCAACTCTGGGGTAGATCTCTTCTGCAGCCGATCCCCTCCTCGAGCGCTTCGTGCCAATTTTGATCATGCCTCGTGGCCGGTGCCGCCGAGGGCGTCATCCGATCGGGGCGAACGTCGCCTGCCGAGCCGCGGCCACTGCCGGTGTCGGACAACATGTGCTGTTGGGCACCGTCCACTCTGTTCCGCCCCCCTTCGGGTGTTTGCAGGACCGGGTTTCGTGGGACCTGGCTTAGTTTTAAGAAGGGCCTGTCCTCCCTACAGGGGGATTTTGGATGAAAAATAACAAATACTAACAAAATACCCCCAAATTGAAAACAATGCTCAAAAACTCGTCCTCAGACTATTTGTTCCATATTTTTGAATATCCCTCCTGTAGAGGGACGCGCCCGACTTAAGCTTAGTTTTTTTTCACCGAGCGCAGCCCTGGAGCTTGCAGCGCTGGGCCGTCTTTCACGCAACAAGGTGTCAGCTCCTGCCGACGCAGCCAGAGGCCTCCTAACTCCCACATGGGGTCCGACTAGGTGGGGTCTCGCGCCGCACCGGCGATGCATCGGGGATACATCGGCGATGCATCGGCGATGCATCGGCCACGTCGGCGGTGCACCGGCGACGCCGGCGTGGAGAAAATCGGGCTCCACATCGAGCCGCATCGCCGATGCATCGGCGATGCGGAGCGATTCTCCGACCCCGTCTACTCCGACCCCATCTGGGAGGCCTGGAGCAACTCTTATTCGGACCGCAGGGACCGGGGGACGCCCCCCCGACGCCCCGTTCCATCAGCTAGAGCTGCCGTCTCCCGAGACACACCAGCTGCGGCAGACCTGGCTGATGATGTTGATCCATACTGTGGGCTTCGGGGCCCATTGGCCCTAACCTGCTCCCCTTAACCGAGATCCTGGCTATGCCCGACTCACTCTGGGCGTGACAAGAGGCCTCCTAGATGGGGTCGGAGTAGATGGGGTCGGAAGATCTCGCCGCATCGCCGATACATCGGCGATGTTTCGCCGATGCATCGGCGATGCATCGGCCATGCACTGGCGACGTCGGCGATACATCAGCGACTTCGGCGTGGCACAGATCGGGCCCCACATCGAGCCGCATCGCCGACGCATCGGCGATGAGGCGAGATCTTTCGACCCCGTCTACTCCGACCCCATCTGGGAGGCCCAGAGTAATACCCAGAAATCGAGGTTCACAGATCGAGGTGTCTGTATATGCGTGGTTCTTGCCACTCTGGGGGCATCCAAAAAGGACTTCTCGTCGCTGCGTCTGGGCCCGCCGCGGGACTCTGGCCAGGGGGCGCCCGGAACCAGCCTGGGGGCAGCTTGAGCAACCTCCGACTCGGCGGTGGACAAACCTCCCTTCAGTACAGTCGGGCCGCTGAAAGAAGGAACGCTAAATAAGGAACGAAGCCCCTTCTTGGCCCTGTAAGCGCCTCCGTGCCCCAGGAGGGCAAGAGGAACAGCTCTGGAGGAATCTAAGGAACATCGAGCCCCTTCCGAACCCAAACTGTTCCTTATTTCAGCGTCTTGACTGTAAACCACCCTTTAGTGAAAACGGCCTGGGACCGAAACCGACGGAGCTGGACCCGCAAAAATAACGGCCGCGACGCCCACTCGCGGACCGAAGACGGCCAATTCGCTAATCGACGTGTCAAGGTAAGAAGTCTGTCCACTCCCGACAGACCCGACATTCCAGCGGCTGTTCTTCTAAATCCAAAAGCTTTTCCTCAAAGTCGGAATCTGGGGCCGATGTCGGGCCCCTTGACCGTGTAATTTTGGATCCGGGACGGGAAACCGCATCAGGGTAAGGTGTAGAGAACCCTGGGGCGCGCGGAGTGAAGAAAAGACGTCGTCGGATGCCATTGCGAGAGGCCAGGGTCCTACTGGTGGTGCGGTCCTCCCTTGCTTTGCGGCGTCCCGCTCGATACATGACCCATCTCTAGCTTGAAGCCTTTTGGACCTGCTCGCCAGGGGTGGCCCCCTGGTGGTGGTGTCGCTTTTCTGCCTCCGACTCGCCATGAACAAGTTCTTCTCCGCCCGCTGCATCTGCGCCAGCAGGAGATTCTTCTCCTCGTGGGGACCCTTTCTCCCTCTCAAACTTTCTCTCTCTCTCTCACTCTCTCTCTCTATATATATATGTATGTATCTACATCTAATTACAGATGTTAGCCAGCGTTGGCCTAATAATGACAAGAACTTGAAATGTATGCGGTGCAATCTTGGTGGTGCAATCAATGTGGTGCAATCTAGGTGGTGCGATGCATGTGTTGCAATCTATGTGGTGCAAAGCATTACAAAGCAACTCAAAACACTGAGACACAGTGCAACACAAAGCAACGCAATGCAACGCAAGGCAATGCGAAGCAATGCGCAACAATGCAACCATGCGAAACGGTGCAACACAATGCAAAACAATTCAATGCAGAACAATGCAAAGCAGCGCGGCGACGGGAGGCGACGAGCCGGCCAAACCGCCACTGGGGCCCATCGGCGACGGCGGCGACGAGCCGGCGGCGACTGGCTGGCCGGACCGCCACGAGGCTCAGTTACCTTAACCCCTAAGTGCAAGCCTCGTTTGGGCAATACTCTGTGCCCTGGCTCGGGGGTGTACGATGGGGGGGGCCATCCTCGAAAGGGTGGCGGCCAAATTGCCTCCCCCCCCCCCCCCTGGGGATGTCCCGGAGTTTCCTGTTTTTTCTGAGCGGCCAACTTTATATGGGGGAACTCGGATCGCCTGCGATCCAGTTCACAAGCCTCTTGACACGCCTGCCCCGGTGGCCACCCGTCCTAAAGCAGGGCGGGTGCTGGGGCTGCGGGTCAGGGAAGAGTGCTTGGAGCGAGAATCTGGTTCAGCCACCGACTGGCCGGAGCGGCGGGCGCGCGCTTGCCTGGCACTGCGGCGTTGCAAGAACATTCGACGTTTCGAAGGCGTCCAAGCGGCGGGGCGCAAATCATGGCTGGCGGCATGTGCGCGGCCCCGGGGGGGGGGGGCTGGGGACATGTTCAAATAATGAGAGGCGCAATGAAACCTGTGGAACTATTATGGCCCCCGCCATGATATCTCCCCCCCTGGTCAGCACCCCCCTCTTGGCCGCCCCCGAGCTTCGGCAGCCGCAGAAATGAACCAGACGAAAGATCCGACCCTGTGCAGCTGCGCGTCGCGCAGAGCGCGGCCCCTTCTTCACACGCGTGCTGCGCGCCGCTGAGCAGCGCGCGCAGTGCGCACAGGTGGCACCAACGTTGCGCGGCTGCGGGAGGAGCCATCGTGGCCGCAGGTGGTGCTCTCTGCGGGGCACGACCCGTGCGAGGTGTGTGTGTGTGTGTGTGTGTGTGTGTGTGTGTGTGTGTTTGTGTCTGGCTCTCCTCTGAGCGGGCCCGGCCCCCGTCTCCCTCCCGCCACCGTCGGGCGTCTCCACCCCCCCTCGTGCATCGCGGCCTTATCCGCGTTCGTCTGTCCTACGAACGCCCCATCCGCCAGCGCAGTCCCTCTGCCCAGCCACCGACGTAAGAAAGTGCGCGTGTGTGTGTGTGTGTGTGTGCCGAGATGGTCGGGGGGACGCACGGGAACGTCCTGTGGGGCCGTGGGTGGAGCTCCCGATGTCATCGCCATTCGCGCGAGTGGCGCGGCGGCATGCGTGTGGCCATTATCGATGATGCGGCGTGTGGAAATCCAAGTGATCGGGCTACGATCCGCGTGAAGAGCGTGCCGAAGCTGGCGGAAAGGCGCATCTGAACGCCATCAATGGGGCCACAATGGGGTTGCGATCCGCGCGAGGGGTAGGCCGAAATGGACGAACACAAGGAGAGGACGAACAATAATAAATTGAGAGGGGGGAAACCGCACGGCGCTGCTGATTCAAAACGAAACCCAACAACGCAGGGGCGTTGGGAACAACTATGTGTATAATACACAAACACATACACATACACATGCACAGACATACATATATATATATATATATATATATATATATATACATACATATACATACATACATACATACATATACATACATACATACATACATGCATGCATGCATGCATGCATGCATGCATGCATGCATGCATGCATGCATTGCATACATACATACATACATACATACATTATGCATACATACATATGATCGCCCCCCCCCCCCAGCACCCCCCAAACCACCAAAACCACAAAACGATCATTGATTGTTTGCTCCTCCTCCTCCTCCCTCGCCCTCCTCTTCTTCCTTCTTTCCCCCTCTTCCTTAACTCCTCCTCCTCCTCCTCTTCCTCCTCCTCTTCCTTCGCCAAAAAGACCTGCGGGAGGAGGGTGGCCACGAAACCATGCCATTCACAGGTGTTTTTTTTTTGTGCCAGGGAGGCAACCAAACACTGCTATTCACATTTTTGGGGTTTTCAAAAGTCCACAAGCATGGCCAGGGGGTGTTGTGAAACGCCAGAAACCAAACAAAAACTTGTGAATTGCAGTGTTTGGGGAGAGCATGGCCACGAAACCATGATATTCACATGTTTTGTTTTTGTTGTTTCGGTCCGCCAGAAAACCAACAAACATGTGAATAACAGTATTTTGTGAGAGCACGGCCACGAAACCATGCTATTCACATGTTGGTTTGTGGTTGTTTTCGGTCCGCCAGAAAACCACAAAAAAACAAAAAACCTGTGAATAGCAGCGTTTGGTGGCCATGTTCCCCCCGAGCAATGCAATTCACAAGTTTTTGTTTGGTTTCTGGCGTTCCACAACACCCCCTGGCCATGCTTGTGGATCCCGGAAAAACAAAAAAACAACAAAAAAAAACATGTGAATAGCAATGTTTGGTTGCCTCCCTGACCAAAAAACACAAAAAAACATGTGAATAACACGGTTTCGTTGCCATGCTGATGCTGTTGCTGTTGTTGCTCCCCTTCCTCATCCTCATCCTCCTCACCCTCATCCCCTTCGTCCTCATCATCCTCATCCTCTTCTTCTTCCTCCTCATCCTCATCCCCCTCATCCTCCGCATCCTCATCCTCTTCTTCGCCCTCCTCATCCTCGTCCTCCTCATCCTCACCCTCCTGCTGCTCCTTCGCCTCTTCCTCCTGCTCCTCTTCCTCCTCCTTCTCCTCCTCCTCCTACCGAGCCCGCCAGGATCACAGTACAATTACAATCAGAATGCAGCAATAATTATTCAACCCATCCCTCTTACTCCAAATCAATGCGACGCAATGCGATTGCAGTGCAATGCAACGCAATTCGATCGAAATGCAGTGCAATGAAACGCACTGCGATCGCAATGCAATACAATGCGCATTGCAATGGGGTTGCAACGCAATGCAATTGCAACGCAGCGGGGGGGGAGGGTTTGTTGACAAAGGGGTCCAAGAGAAGGGGCATCTGCAAGATGGGGAAGCACGGCGAGAGGAGGAATGATGAGTAACAGGATCAACTGAAGATGGTGCTGTTTCGCACAGTTCACAAACGTCGTAATCAATATGCGTGTCCGCGCAGATTTCGCACGGGCAGTTCCATGACACTCGCCCAACAGATCGCAACGCGGACGGCATCTACATCTGGAAAGCGAACAAGCATCGACCTGAATGCATTCACAACGGCTCCCAGCGTTTGGCCAGTGCCATCCAGAGCTCAGGCACGGTGCGCGCGCGCTCCTGACCGACCACAGGAGTGACTGCGCTCCGCCCTTAGGCCCAGGATGGCACTTGCCAATGCGGCGGCGGCACGTCGAGGCCCCCCGCGCAACCTTGGCCACGTGTGCGCAAGCCGCGTGCGCGAAAGAATGCGCGGGGTTGTGCCAGCATTCCCAGCACTGGTTCACGTTGGGAGCCATTGATCTGCGATAGCACCAGGGCTGACCGATCAAGCCTGAACGGGCCGAGCGAACATCTCCGAACGGCCAGCTGGGAGTCTTCGCGACCGTGGTGGTCCTGGCCGCGGCCGCGGACAATGGGGGGGATCACGTCCGAGCCCGCGGCCGACGCAGGCCACGGGTAAGTCTCGTCCGCGCACTCATCGATCCAGTTGGCAGCGCCGGAGAGGCGGTACAAGAACGCCATGGCGGCTACCAAGCAAACTCGCACCTCGCACGTTCGGGCCAGAATGCCAACTCTGCGCGCAGCGCTGCCGCAGAGCGAGCTGGCGACCACTCCTGCGAAATACCACGATGCAATTGCCATGAACAGCTCATCGCATGACGCTTCTATCTGCGTGACAGCGCCGACATGTGACACACTCACTCACAAAACAACCTGCTTTACAAACAATTGGGGAAGGAGATCATCTCCGCACTGAACAGAAGAAACCAGGTCCTGCTGGCCGATCGGCCCCGAGGTGCTGGCGCAGCAGCAAGTTGACGTGGGAGTCGCGGGCCGCCACTGTCGGCGTCGCCCTGGCAGCGGGACAGCGGGCCGAAGCAGGCCGAGCAGGGGGCGTTGCTGCCAAGTCGAAAGAGGCCCCGAGCGACGTGCCCGCGCGACCACCCGCGCGAGCGCATGAGCGCATGCAAAGCAGCGCGCGTCCATTGCGCGCGACAGTAAGCACGCGGCGCGCATAGTGTACGCGCACGCTGTGCACGTGGTGTGCGCGCGGAGCCCACGCGTGCTAGTCGTAGTAGTGGTAGTAGTAGTCGTAGTCGTAATCGCAGTAGTCGTAGTAGCCGTAGTAGTAGTAGTAGTAGTAGTAGTAGTAGTAGCAGTAGTAGTAGTAGTAGTAGTAGTAGTAGTAGTAGTAGTAGTAGTAGTAGTGGTAGTGGTAGTAGTAGTAGTAGTAGTAGTAGCAGTAGTAGTCGTAGTTTTAGTAGTAATAGTAGTAGTAGTAGTAGTAGTAGTAGTAGTAGTAGTCGTAGTAGGTGGAAGAAGGAAGATATGCCGGCGTTCTTCAGGAAGAAGACACAGTGGTCACCCGCTGCTCCTGCGTCGCGGCGGGTTTGCCGCTGCCTGCTGTTCCTTATTGTCGGCGGGTTGTTCTCGTTGTTCTGCATTGGTTTCTGTTGCGCTTCGCGATTTCCGTCTCCTGGAGGGCACCCTAAAAATGGGATGTCCTTTTTCGCAACAGAAGACGCAATTGTTTCTCACTCATTCTGCGT